ACACACACACACACACACACACACACACACACACACACACACACACACACACACACAATCTCAGTGATTCTCAAAGTTCATTATACCTAAGCATCCTTTGAAGGGTTGTTTCTTGGCCAGCCTTCCAGAGTCTGGGTCAGATGTGGGGTGAGGCCTACAAATTTGCACTTCTCAGCAGTTCCCAGGTGATACTGGTCTAATATATCAGGAAGCACTGCTGTACTTCAGGTGAGTTGTTGAGCACCAGGAAGGCAAAGTGGTGTATAGCTGATTATAATAGTAAATCCAATAGACCAAGTGAGAGATTTGAAGTTACCTGGGCAGGTGTCTTGGTTTAGGTTTCTATTGCTGTGGTGAGACGCCATGACCATGGCAACTCTTCTAGAGGAAAACATTTAATTGGGGCTGGCTTACAGTTCAGAGGTTTAGTTCATTATCATTGTGGCAGGAAGCATGGCAGCATGCAGGCAGGTATGGCGTTGGCGAGGTATTTGAGAGCTCTACACCTTAACCTGTAGGCAGCAGAAGACGGGGCCACATTGCCTGTAGCTTGAGCATGAGAGCTCAAAGCCTGCCCCCAGAGTGACACACTTCCTCCAACAAGGCCACACCTCCTAATAGTGCCGCTCTGTATGGGCTGAGCATTCTAACTCATGAGCCCATGGGGGTCATATATACAAGTGTGTAGTTTCTCAAAGGAGAAACGTGTTTTCTTTGAAAGGAGATTGAAACATCATTAAGGACTGGGCTTAAGAACACAGCACCAGTGTGTGTTTTTGTGTATGTGGTGGTGGTGTCAGGTAAAATAAGTGAGAATGCACAAGGAAACCCTTAAGACACTATCCTATAACACTTATGGAAGTCTCAGTGGTTTAAGTTGGCAAGTGCCCCTCTGTGTCAGAACTCCATCCTCAGGCTAACAATGGGAGACAGAATTCAGCATACAGTTATAGATGGTTTCCCCAAACTTTAATATGTAGGACTTGCTGGGATCCTCTTCCAATGGACATTGGCTAAGGCTTAGGATTAGTCAGAGATTCTGCATTTCTGATGTTCCTAAGACCCAGGCACACAGATGCCCATGCCCATACCATCAATAGCAAGAATGAAGGTAGTGGTTTGCACTCTCCAGAGGGAACCTGGGGAAAAACTAATGCTTACTCACACTCTACACTACAGATTTTTCTCAAGACAGGGTCTTGAAATAGCTCTGGCTGACCTGGAACTAGGTAGTTTAGGCTGGCCTCGAACTCACTGTCTCCCAAAAATGCAGGGATTAAAGGTGTATGCCACTATGCCTAGCCCAACTATAGAACATCTGAGGAAATGACGTAGGCAAGAAGGTCCTAATGAGATACTCAAATATGACTTTCTGATTGGCTCTGTGGCCTGTTTAGATGGATATAATTAACCTATGTGGTGTGATTCGATGGATATTACTTTCTGGTTGTCCCTGTTCTTAATAAAAATGGAGACAAACAGTTGTAACTGAGTTACTGTGAAGGCTGAGTGTGTATTTAGTCACAGTGCATGTATCTTATTAAAGGGCTATCATGTCTATTTTCACAAATGTACTAAACCCAACTAGCTCCAACTTTTAAGGTGTTGATTAATCACTCACTATAGCATTTAATAGCATGCCCTTTGATGTGATCAAAATGAATTCCAGCAAAGCTTGGGTAAGATGGTTTCTTAAAAAAAAAAATCAACTGGGGATTCAGTCTGTGTATATTTATGGTAATTCATCCTACACTTTACTGTTTATCATAGCTACAACAGAATCTCAGAAGACTGTATGCTCACTTTACCCTCAAATTACTTTCCAGTATTTGTCTGTTGCCAACAAATGGGAAAAGACGAAGATGACTAGGTGTAAGTGCTGACCACTCATGATGCTGCAGTTTTTCCTATATGGTTTTAGTAATCAATGTATACTTTGCTTTTTATCAGTGAATGAAGAATGGCTAGAAGGGGAGTGTAAAGGCAAAGTTGGCATTTTTCCTAAAGCTTTTGTTGAAGAACGTGCAGCCAAGGAGCTGGAAGGCACTCCGGGAGAAGTCTAGGATGCTCCCCAACCTATGAAGCTCAAGAAGTGCTGCTTTTTCAAGACGTGCCCATCTCTGCTGGGCGCTATACAGACACATTCAGAAATGTTCTCTAACAACATTTCCCTATCCGAATTGAACCCGTCACACAGTAACATGAGAATTTGGATGAAGATTTCCTTGTAGATGAGAAGGGGGAGATGAATTTCTGGAAGGGGAATGAAGGGGTCTTCTTGGGTGCTGGCTCCCTAGCTGTGGACTTCATGAGAATTCCTGGAGCAGAATGTCAATGGGTACACCTTTGTTATGAAAATAGAGCAGGAAACCCGGTGTCCAAGCCCAATAGCTGAGTGGGAATATTCTCCCTGTACCTTAAGAATTTGGGTTCCAGAAGCTTAAAGCAAATTTACTTGTAACTCAGAAGGCACACACAGATAACTCATTAAAAAACAAGCTTAGGTTTCATTAAAGAGAAGCTAGACTGAATGAACATTCAGTCCCAAGAATTAAACTCTTAGAATGCTAGCTCCTCATGCCTTCCTTGTCAGATGGACATCTATTATTAAGTTTAATAGTGAACATATGCCACCAGTACTTGAGTGATGAAAAGCTGTGTTCAGGAGGCAGCCTGCAGCCCATTAAGAGAGACATTCTGCTGCTTTACATGTATTATTCAAGACTAACCCACATGATAAAACTCATGCCATTTTGGTGGTCCTTCAGGTTACCTGGGGACAGGGACCGCTGAGCACTAGACCTTGGGACCTTACTGCCCTGCCAAATGGTTTTTCAAACTGTTTTTCAAGTTTGTAGGTGCAAGTGAAAAACAGGTAGGAAATGAAGGTTTTTTTTTTTTTTTTTTTTTTTTTGGGGGGGGGGTGTTTTCCAAGACAGTTCCTGTGTAGCCTTGGCTGTCCTGGAACTCGATCTGTAGACTAGGCTGGTTTCAAACTCAGAGATGGAGTGCTGGGATTAAATGCGTGCACCACCACCACCTGGCAGTGAGTTTTACGTAGAATCACAATCCAGGTGAGAGGTTAGTCAGTGTGAGCTCTGAGCCCTAGCACACTGTTGAAGTTGCCTTTGGAAACTTTGGACAAACTGAAAGAGAGACCACCCCAAGCCTAACAGTTATCCCTGTTGGTATTAATTAGTCAGTGAGGTTTAAAGGCCAGATGATAAACTGAATTACCTCCTGATAAGCTACAAAATAAATGGTCCTGCCTTTACAGAAGCCACTCCAGTAAAGAATCGTGGCAGTCGTCTATTTCTATCATTTTCCAGAACAATTCACTGGAATGCTAAGAAAAGCAAATGTAACCCCAAAGCCTACCCAGTTGTGACCATCTCTGTTCCTGCAGGTGTGGGAGTAGCTCAAGTTCTGAGCTGTGTTTTTACTTCTGTATCCTTTAAGGCAGAATAAACACTCCATACACAGATCTGGTTGGAGAGAACACGGTTTAATTAAAGGCAAAGCTGATTTCAGCAGCTGCAGATCTTGCACAGACAGACAGGAGGAAAAAAAAAAAACCCAAATCAAACCAAATCAAAACAAAACACAAAGGAAAGTTTATTACACAAAACCAGATGAAGATTCTCCTCCTCTTCCTCATTACCCCACAGTGAGGATGGCAAGGCGAGGAACCCAGCCGAGAGTCATAAAACATTCCAAACACCAAATTCTCATGCAGACCGGGGCTGTAGATGGGAAGTGGGTACTACTGGGAGGGAGCTGGTAAACCTGTTGGCTGGTCTAAGGTGCAAGAATCAGTGACATTTCCACCATCGGAATGTTGCAGCTGTCTGAAGGCAGAGCTTACGTACACAAACTGGGTGAGCAGGAAGAACAGGGAAGAGGACCAAGGTGGACACACGGACGGGACTGGAGCAGCACAGAGGGTTTCACTTGCCATTGAGTGGGGGTTTCACTTCCAGACCTTTCAAAAACAAAACGGAACCAAGAAAACCCAAATACCATGTCAAACTAAAAGAGCAATAGTGTAAGCCTGGGGCTCCAAGCACTCTTTCTGAAGAGCAATGAGCAATACCTCACCCCTTCTCATTGCCGGGGCCACCCAGATCCTGTGACACCCGGGCTCCTGGATGTGCTTTGCTCTACAAGTAAGGTCCACCGAGCTCCCACACTCAGCCCTTGCCCTCTGGGAGAGTAGATGGCCAGGTGTGGACATGGACGCACATCCACACATGCACGCGCACACACATACACACACACACACACACACGTGCACACACACCTATCTCCCAGAAAATAATCCCTACCCTAGCACAGCAATTGGACATTTAGATTGTTTCCATAATTTCCCCTTAAAATATTACTTTTCCAGGAAATGACTAACAGAAATGCTGTCCTTCTGTTCCTACACAGAACATCTTCAGTCCTCTTTCCTCCCAATAAATATCAAATAAAGTTTATTCCTTTCTTTCGCCCTTTCCAAAGTGGCGTTCGTTGTTTGCTTCTCTGCACAGCGTGCATTTGTCCCTGTTGCCTTCAGTTCTGCTCTCGAGGTGAAGGCTGGGAGCCTGTGACTGACTGGGCAGAGGCCGGCTCCTCGGTGGCGATGCAGGCACTCCTGACTGCTTCCCTCCTCTTCAGACCACCTCTGGGCCCAGTGCCGGCCCCAAGCTGCTGCGTCCTGACGAGATGTTGTACACGGTAGGAATAACAATGACTAGGATACAGCATATGGCTAAAGGGGTGGAGACTGGTGCAAGAGGCTGGTGAGCAGGATGGGGACCCAAAACCAACGTAACCAAACATGACCACACTGAAAGCATCCACCTACTAGCACGTGTCCCAGGCTATGGATGGACTAGCCTGCCTTCTGTGAGACTGCTTGCTCTGCTACTGCAAAAGTGTAGGAGTCAGAAACAGTAATCGAAATCTCCAGCAGCCACCTGCTGGGCTAGCCCAGCAGCACCAGCCACACTGCATCCTCGATGGGGGCTCGAGCACCTACAGAGTGAGGGGCATCTCCTGCTGGAGTTCCCAGGCTGGAGGAAGGCCTAGCAGAACCTTCTAGGAGGCCTGTATTCTCCCTTATGGAACACTCCCCCGGCTTAAGAGGTCAGTTCCCTGTGCCGTCACCACCGACCTCTCTCGGGAGCAGCACACGGGACTGTCTTTGCTCCACACTGACTACAAGTACACCTGTGTATGGAAGAATTCAGTGTGGTAGTTTGCTACTGAGAGTAATAATAAAAGATGTTTAAGAATAATTTCAACTACATTCTCAGTCAGCAAAGCACTCATAATGGATTCCTATTTTATTCCCCAAAGAGGAAAAAAGGACTGAGAAGTTCCTATTGGCTTCTCCCATCTGCCTTCCCTTCTCAGCTTCCACTTCCCACGTGTTGGGGACATGCGCGGTGGAGAAGGTGAGAGGCGTGCTATCAGTAACTGAGTGAGACAAACAGCAGCTCCTCTCTCCCTCCGGGAAGCCCCGGGGGAACGAGAGTTCCTGATGGTTTTTCTTTTTGTTGCACTGCCAACATTTCGTGCACACTCAGCGGGCTGGTGGAACACTTACACCCTCTCGACAGCAAGAAACAGACGAGAGGGCTGCCACCTGCAGGGACCGTGTGGGCCAGTCCTGCAAACCCAACATGCCATGGTTTATGGAGCCTTCATTCCCTGGGTCGCTACTGTGGCCTCAGTGTGGAGGGTTCATGGCACCTTGTCCTCGCTGCTGTTTCTGCTTCTGCTGCATTAACAACTGCTCCAGAGCGGAGGGTCCAGGATGCATCATGGAACTGGACCAGATGGACTGAAAAATAGCCCAGAAAGTTGTCAGCAGAGTTCAAATGTCATGGTTGTCTGACAGGGATTTGTTTGAAATCCTAGCCAGCTGTAAAGGCAAACATGTCCTCTAAATCCCAAGCAACTCAGCTCTAAGAAAAAGTCACCACGGACTTGTTCCTAAGACTATTTTAAAACTTCAAACAGTGGAAAATACAGTTTTTTTAACCCCAAGCCAGGGTTTCGATATGTACCCTAGCCTGGCCTGGAAAGATTATCCCTCTCATTCAAACCATTCTGTGAGTATAGCGTGTACCAGTATGGCCAGCTGAAATTATGTTTGAAGTTTGTTTTTTGTTTTTGTTTTTTAACTAAAATTCATATGACATGACAGAGTAAGCTTATTGTAAAAGTTTTAGGCAAACAAGACATTTAAAATTCTATACTCATAATTGGTCAAATAAAGCTGAAATCAGACACACCAATATAAAGCAGCATTTTAACATAAGGATGAAACTAAACCCTTTACCATTTCCAACACCCTGATACTACACAGAGTTAACCCCTAGGGTCTTCTCAATTTCATGGGTGAAAGCAGACACTTCTGCAGTACGAGCCTTGTGCGTCCTGCTCCTCAAATCTACTCACCTTTAGGCTTTCCATGAGGACAGCAGAGGAATCCTCCATGGAGGGGCCGTGGCCTGTCCAGGTGCCACTTGGAGTGCTAGCCTGATGCCAACTGCTCTCAGATGATGATGTTGCTGAGAGATAATCAACGCCAAAACCACCCATGGCTAAGAGATGAAAATGGGTAAGAATTCAAAATGTTTTATCAATGGCAAATATTAAACTCCATGCAAAGTCAGAGCAAGTCATTTCCCTTTTGCCTGGTAGATAAAGAAATGTGGATCTACCTGGTTTATCAGTTTTCCACCGATCTGTGGGTCGCCTATCCCTGTTATCTGGAGTCCCAATGGGTCCAAAGTTAGAGAAGGGAGCAGAATTATGGTTATGTGTTGGAGGAGAACTGGGCAGGCTGCTTGGGTTAGAGGAATGAGGAGACTGGCTGGCTGGTGTTGAATGATCTGTTAAAAAATTAACAACATAAGGACGCGACTAGGTATTTTACAAACTAAGTCAAGAACTAATGTTTCCTTCAGATGTGGTCATCAAATGTGAATGAAAGCATTATAACAAGGCTTTAGAGAGAAGACCAGATAAGGCCATGGGGCAATCTGTCAGATCACTAATGTGTCAGATTGCACATATCCAAGGCACATTCTCCACCCTAAAAAAAAACAACAACAAAAACAAACAAACAAAAAACAAAACAAAACTGTAGACAAATTCATCAGACATGCAGTTCTGACCTATTTCAACTTTTGGACATCAGAA